TTAGGATCCAGCCGCCTCACTCACCATGCTACTGACTGGCCTGGTAATGCATTTTTAAATTTCAGAACTATTTCTATTATTGGCTAAATATTAGAACACAAGTACTAAATTGATTTTTTTTCTTTATGTTTTAAATCTCCATTCTACTGCCTAGGTACTTTGAATAATGACGTGTCCTTTCAGTGGTTACCTTTTAGCTGTGTGGTATATACTAAGCCTCAAACTTAAGTTGGCACTGTATGTTTTAGAGTGATTTGTTGCATCTAATTAAGAGCTCGCTATGAACCAGGCCCCAGGGAAATAAAGATGAGACAGAACGTCAGCGGTTCCCAGTCTGTGATCATTCTGTGATTAGTGTTTACACCAAATCCTTTAGAAGCACAGAAAGGGATATCAACCTCACGAGGGGGCTGGGTGGCCTGAGGGCGAAAGGCGGAGCCTAAGGCATCAGGAATAATGATGGAGCCTCTTTCCTGCTCCAGACACTATGCAAGGCTCTGGGAGACTGAGAGTGACTCCACATACCTGGCCATGCTCTTATGGAGCCTCCTGTCTGAACGCAGAGATTAAGGTAAATGTAAAATTCCGAACGCATACAGGATGGCAGATTCAAATGATTTTTTTTTTAAAAAGAATCACTTAATTTATCAATTCTATTACTATTATTTTTTAAGTTGACCAGAGAGAGACAGAGAGAAAGAAAGTGAAAAAGCAAGCTGCCAGGTCCGAGACTTGAATGGCGGTCAGTTATGTGGGAATCCAGCGTCTTAACCACCACACCACCTGCTGGCCCAAAATGATTTCTAAGAAGTTAACAAGTAAATAACAGGATCTCTTTTGGGGTCAGCTTGGTATTTAAGCTTAAAGAATGAGTCAGATAAGTGAAGAGGGTGAGAATAATAAGTAAATAACAGTAAGCAGATATATAGTCAACATTCATTCCAATCAGTCCAATTTATAATAAATGCAATGGCAAGAGGAATAGGTTGAAGGGAGAATCAAGTGAAATTAGCAAAATCCTGGTTGGAAACTAGGAAATAGATACCGTTCAATAACAACAACAAATCGTAGAGACTAGAAACAGATGGAGAAATCATTTGCTGTTTAAAGAAAAATTTAAGCCACATATCAACTAATCGTAACATGGAAACCAAACTTAAATGGATTCAAACATTGTTAAAGAAAGAAAATGAAAGAGGTGAAAATGTATAAAAGAATTGGAGTTGTGGCTACCGTGAGGTTTTAGAAAATGACACATATTTGAATAGTTTAATAAAGTTATATAATTACTTGTATCTTAAATATGAAAAAGATGTAGTTACGGTAGAAAAAAACTAATTTGTTCAGGGATTTATGAATGATATTGTCCGAGATCTGGTATTTCCTTCAGAGGAACTCAGTGGAGGTTCAAAGAAATCAGATTAACTAGGAGTTGTGGATTGTTAAGGTTGTATGGTAGATACGAGGGGAGGGGATTTGTCTTACTGGTATTATCTACTTTTTTTTTTTAAGTTTTTGCCAGAGGGCACATGCACTCACCAGAGAAAGAGGGAAGGAGGAGAAAGTACCCTGTGTGGAAGAAGGTCATGCTGCAAGCCTGTATTTTCCATCTCTCCCTCCTTTCAGGATTTTGAGCACATACATACACTGGAGGTTTCCAAGTTGCTGAGTCCAAGACACGATCTTGTGTAGTACTGGGCGACGTGAACCACCAGGCCACAGAACCAGCCCTTACTGTCTGTATGTATTTAACTTTCCCTAACATAACATTCTTCAAAACCAAGGGGAAAAAAATCCAGAAAAACAAATCAGATAGTTACGTTGTTCTAAGTACTATGAAGAGAAGAACATATGGCAAAAGAAATAAGTCACTCCACTTGAAGTCAGGTTCCAGCCTAAAGAACTAAGACCAGCTCAGGCCACCAAGTCAGCTTCCTTCTAAATCTCCTAGAAGCAGCAGGAGAGGTCACACCCATGCGGGTAGGTGGAGCGCTTGCTTGTCAGAGTCTCCTTGAACAGATTTTAGTGTCTGTCCTGGAAGGGAGGAGCTGAGTTTTCAATTTATCTATCATTATCTGCCTATTTCAAAAGCTATTTGGTCAAATTCTGATCTGGGCAATGCTTCTAGACTTAAAAGAGCTTGAGAGTTAACCAGAGAGTTTGTTGAAGTACAGATCCCTGGGTCTGGTCCTCAAGGACAGATTAGGAAGGTCTGAGATGGGGCCTCATAATTTAAATTTCAAAGCAGGTCCTCAAAAGGCTGAAGTTGAACCTTCAGAGACTGCACTTGGAATGTATTATGCTGCCAAACATTTTTAAACAAATTATTTAACTTTATTTTAATTTAACCAGAGAAGGACAGAACAAGAGAGAGAGAGAAAGTGAGGAGTAAGCTGCCAGGTCTGGGACTTGAACCACGGTTGGCCATGTGGGAGTCCAGCACCCCCAACCACCATTGCCACCTACCAGCCCTTTATGCTACTGAATTAAACTGACCCCATACTCCTGGGTTCTAACAGATCAGACTACTTTCCTCGAGGTAGAAAAAGCCTGCTCTAAGGACACTGGGCCTCAGTGTGCCACTGAGTGTAATTTTCCAGCAGTAGCTTTTTAGGGTTGCCACATTCTGCCTCCAATATTATGCTCTAGAAATTCCCAAGTGCTTACAGTCCCTTTTTCTTTTTTTTCCCACCCACTTTTTGCTGTTAGGGTATGTGCTCTCCCCAGAGAGAGAAGGAGAAAAAGTCAACCCTGTGGGGTCTAGCATTTTAACCTCTATGTCACCTGCTGGCCCTAATTTGCAATTTCTTTTGCATGTATTATTTCATCACTTGTGTTAGTGTTTTGGGTCTTGCTGCTCCTATGCTGGATAGCCAAATCATTTCTTTCTCGATATTGAGACCAGAGTTGGACCCCATTTACAGATAGAGCAGCCCCACCACCCAGAGGAGAGCCTTTGCTGAGTGACTCCTGATGGTTCCTCTCCTCCCAGTCTCCATATCCCTTTGATGGTAGACATGTAGATCTTGTTCTTGAATAACTACTCTCTGTGTCTGTGACTCTAATTCTTCCTGAGTGTGGGATAAGAATTTGTCTCCCTGTGAATGCTGGGCCCTTGTGTTCAGGCTTATTTTTGCAGGCATAATGGTTGTACTTCAAACTGGATCTAAGAAAGATATTGGCCAAACCCCACAATTGAAATCTCCCAGTGATTGACACACTCATGTACAAATCAGTTATAAAATATCTCTCTCAACGGGGTGGCAGGTGGCATGGTAGTGGTGAAGGGCACTGGACTCCCACATGGCCGGCCACGGTTCCGGTTCCGGACCTGGACGCTCGCTTTCTCACTTTCCCTCTCTCTCTCTTTCCTCGCTGGTCAAGTAAAAAATAATTAATTGGGACCAGCAGTTAGCGTAATGGCTATGTCGCTGGACTCCCATGTAGTCGACCGCGGTTTGTGTCCTGGACCTGGTGACTTAAAACTCATGCCGGGCGCGTGTGCTTGCGTGCCCAAGATTCCAAGAGGAGACTGGAGGAGAAAGGATTGTGGCGTGGCCATCCCCCCTGGGGGGTGATTTCGCTTTCTGTCTCTCTGTCTGGCTAGCACAACACGCCCTATAGCAAAAACCTCTTCAAAAAAAAAATTAAAAGACCTCCTTCAAATATTTTGTCCCCTTCTTTTCTTAAAATCTGTTTCTTCCATGCGTGACAGAGACAGGGCAAGAAAAACAGGCACTCCCAACAGGGTCTCAAAACAGCGAGATCCCCACCATGCATTAGTCAGCCCTCCATCAGAAACAGCAGGAGCCAAATTATTTAGGGAGGTCTGCAGGTCCCAGAATCTATGCCATGTGGGTCAGCCTCAGGAGTGTTGCATTTTACCACTGCACCACTGTCTGGTCCCTATGAATTTTTTTTCTAGTACTTATGTAATAAATTATTTAATCTATCATCAGTATTGTCCTAGAACTGTTCACACTTATTCTTTTCTTTCAACTGGAACGTATCAACAAGAGTTTATCATTTCTACTGAATCCCACTTTAACAGAATACAAACAAAAATCTAATTTAAAAAATAATTATTTATTTAATTTTATCATCATGATTTTTTTTTTTTGAGAGATTTTCTCTATAGGGTGCGTGTGCTCACCACACAGACAGAGAGAGACATAGAGACAGAAAGCGAGAATCACCCCCCAGGGGGGATGGTCACGCCGCAATCCCTTCTCCTCCATTCTTCTCTCGGGATCTTGGGCACACATTCACATGCGCCTGGCGTGAGTTTTAAGCCACCGGGTCCAGGACACCGCGAACCACAGTTGACTACGTGGGAGTCCAGCGACATAGCCATTATGCTAACTGCTAGTTCCCGATCATGATTGCTTTTTAATAATTACTTTTCTATTTAATTTTATTTATTTATTCACATATTCTTAATGTGAGCAGAGAAAGACACAGAGAGAGATAAAGAGAGAGAGAGGGAAACTGAGAAAGCAAGCCACCAGGTCCAGGACTCGAACCGTGGTGGGCCATGTGGGAGTGTCCAGCACCTTAGCCACCATGCCACCTGCTGGTCCCAATCATTATTATTTTTTAAATTTGCTTCAAGGGACGTGTGCTCCTCAGAGAAAGAAGACCCCCAGATCCAGGACTCAAACCATGGTGAACTACGTGGGAGTTCAGTGCCTTAACCACTACGCCACCTGCTGGCCCATAAAATTCTAATTTTATATAAAGGACTTCATATGATAGTAATTCCTCAGTACTTCAAGTATCCCCTAGTGGGTAAGGCAGAGTACAGGACTGATACAGTATAATTGTTTCCTTGTCAGATAATAAAGGAGAGGAGAACAGCTCATCTGAGTGGCAGGAAGTAGAAGGAGACATTTGCTTATAAAAGGAGAAATCAGACTAGAAACCCTCAGGTTAAGAGGAGTAAAGCGGCAGACACCTTTAACATCGCTCTGGTTGCCTTCTCCACGTGGGTGTTAGTGAAAATGTCAGACTCCACCAACTGTGAGAGGGTAAGTTTCATTCCAAAACTATTCATTTTCTCAGTCGTTTATTTTCAAGATCTTTCTAGGCCTCGCACCCGTTTTCCTTCGGCTACAAATGTTAATTTCCTAGAACCTCCCCCTCTTTGCGAATGGATTGTTAGGCTTCTTACACGTGGTTGTGGGGCTTTATGTTTTGGGTAAGAGTAAAAGTCGTTTTCTGTTCCTAATCCAAGGGAAAAGTGATTTTGTAAAGACTAGCTGTAGCTGAGCAAGTTACACACGGCAGAGAAATGGAGAGCGAAGGAAAAAAGGAAGTAGAAGAGGGTTAAGGTCAGAAAGTAAAGTGACCAATTTTTTTTTTTTTCTTTTTTTTCTGGACTTGTTAGAAGTAACTGATTCATAGTGGTTTCCCAACCAGATGGGTCTCAGACGAGCTGGGTCGTCCTGAACAGGATGGGAAACTAAGCAGAAAAGGTGTCATCGTGTGTTTAAGGGGATCACTGTAGCAGGCTAGGGGATTGAATCAGATAAATATTAGGCATATGATAATGGACTCCTCACAATGCTACTCTAAGACCCCACTTATCTCTGGAGCGAGTCAACAATTTAGAACTTTTCTTTTTTCTCTTTTCTTTTTTTTTTTTTAATGAGAAGAGAAAGTGTGTGGAGAGTGCTTTGAAAAAGCGGTATACAGATGCAAAAATCACTATATGCAAACTAAGAGCTTAAGCATAATTGGGGAACCATTGAAGACATTTAAATAGAACGGGCGGGGCATGGTGTCAGAGGAGGAACAGAACTTTCCAGACAGGTTGGAATGGGTTGTTTTTACCCTTGGGTTTGAGAGGAAAAAAACTAAAGTCTGGAATGCACTCAACCATGAATTACTCCATGGCTTTGTTCATTTCATTTCCGAAACTCAAGTCTCCTGATTTGTAAAATAGGAAAACGAATAAAATTACAAGTATACTATGGAGATTAAATGAGAGATATACAGAAAGCACCTCCCACGGCTGTGTGCTACACAAACAAGGCAGTAAATACTACTCCCTTCTCACCCACTTGCTTTTCCACTTTACCATTTCCACTCGATCATTAAAACTATCCTGAATGCCCACCCTGCGCTGAGCTGGGCGCCCGTTAGCTACCACATCAAGAGCGAAACGCACATTCTGTCCCTTTAAAGGGGCCCTGCAGCTGAAATAAGGCTGGGTGTGGCTGGATCGCTGGAAGCCCTGGGACTGCAGGAGAATCCGGCAGGGGTAGGCTGTTAAGGAATTTGTAGCCTATGCAAATTTGTGACATTTTTGAGTTTTGTTTTTAACCTGAATAGCAGTAAGTAATGGAAGAATTTCCAACCGAGGAGGACGATCCAAGCAGAAAGAACAGTCGAAATGGATCTGGGGGTAACAGGAGTTGTAGTTTGGGCCAGTGAAATTTGATAATAGATGGAATGGGGAATCTTAGGAATCCTAAGGCACAAGGTGGGAAGGCGGCAGGGCAGGAACAGGTCCACACTGTCTTTGGAGACGAAATGAAAGCAAGTGTGTTTTAGCAGATGAGAAAGGGAAGGAAGGCCATGAGGGAAGTAGTTCCCTGAACCTAACTAAGCCCCATGCTGTTTTCTCTTTCCTTATCACCCACTTGTAAATTGCCTTTTGCTCATTTCTTTATTGTTTCTATTACCTATAATCAGTATTGGTTCAAAACAATCTCAGTAACCTCTTTCTCTATCCACTTACTGTCTTGTCAGTTTCTTTTCTTACTAATTTTTAGAATTTATTTAATTTTATTTATTATTATTTTTTAAGAAGTCTTTTTTTTTTTTTTTCCTTAGGGCGCATGTACTTGCGGGTGAGAGGGGAAGAGACAGGGACAGTGAGAGGGAAAGTGAGAAATCACCCCTGGGGGGGTGGGAGGGATGACCACACCACAGTCCTTTCTTTTCAATGCTCCTGCCAGATCTTGGGCGTGCATGCACATGTTCCCTGTGTGATTTCAAGTCTTCGGGTCCGGGACTCGAGCTGTGGTTGGTCATGTGGGAGTCCAGTCACATAACTGCGATGTTATCTACTGGCCTCAATTATTAATATTTTTAATTTGCTATAGGGCATGTATAGTCACCAAAGAGAGACAGAGACAGAGAGAGAGAGAGAAAATGAGAAAGCAAGCTGCCAGGTCTGGGACTCAAATTGTGGTCGGCCATGTGGGCCTCCAGTGCCTTAACCACCATGCCACCTGCTGGCTTTATCTTCTCAGTTTCTTTCTTCCTTTCTTTCTTTTTTTTTTAAGAAATTTTTTCAGCTTTACTTTTTATTTACTTATTTTAATTTGACCAGAGAGGGACAGAGCTAGAGAGAGAGAGAGAGAGAGAAAGAGAGAGAAAGTGAGAAAACAAGTCACCAGGTCCAGAACTCGAACTGCAGTTAGCCATGTGGGAGTCCAACACCCTTAACCACCATGCCACCTTCTGGGCTTCTTCTCAGTCTCTTATTCGTTAGTTGTGCCTTAAATAAGAGGTTTTGTGGCATGGCATCAAATGAGGGACTCGGTGACCGACTTCTTTCCTTTCCAGAATTTCTTTGAGGAAGAATCAGATGAGGAGACTGTGATTCTTACATTGGTTCCTGTTAAAGAGGAACATGTAAGAGGACAACAGATGGAGCCAAATGTTTCCTCAACTTCCGACGTTAAACCGAAGAAGCCTAGGGGAAACAAAGGTATGAGGACAAATTTTGCTCAGGTAGCGACTCCTATCACTTTAGCTCCATGAATTGCTTTGCTTTTTTTTTTTTTTTAGAGAATTGTTTTTATTTAATTTTATTCATTGTTATTTTAATTTTATTTTTTTGAAGTTGACTATAGAGAGAGACAGAGAGAAGGAAAGTGAGAAAGCACACTGCCAGGTCCAGGACTTGAACCCGTGGTCAGCCATGTAGAAGTCCAGCCACCTTAATCATCACATCATCTGCCGGCCTCAAACTGCTTTGCTTTTAAGACACAAAATAGGCATGTAGAACGCTTTGGATAGCGTATGCTCTTATGGGGCAGCTAGACATGTTTTCACATTCTCAACCTATGAAGCTCAGTCTCCTAATTTATTATGATTTTTTAATTGTCAGAGAGTGTGTGTACTCACCAGAGGCAGGGGTGGGGTGGAGGGGTGGGGAGAGTGAGACACCTCCTCCCCGTGAGGTGTGATCACACCACAAAACCTTCTCACCCTCTCTCCACTCTGTCTGACAGGATCCTGGGCATGTGTGCCTGGTGTGCTTTTCAAGCACCGGGACTAGGATTTAGCCTGCACAGCAAACCATGTGCGATCTAGCTCCCTTAACCACTAAGTTACGGGCTGCCACTCAATTCTGTAACCTATAAAAATGTGGTGTGGTGGCTAAGACACTGGACACTCCCACGTGGCTGACCACAGTTCAAGTCCCATACCTGGTGGCTTGCTTTCTCACTCTCACTCTCTCTGCCTCTCTCTGTTAAATTAAAATGAATGAATGAATGAATAAAACTGAATAAGTAATTCTTAAAAATAAATGAAATTAGTACCTACTTGCCTCTTATGATACTTAAATACTTTTGAGAAATCGCTGATAATGTTTGGCAAGTAATTATTGATCAAATATATAGTAGTCCTTAAATCATGACCCATTGTATCTGTTCTCAGGCATTAAATATATTCAGAATTTTTTTGTAGGTCCATAATAAGGACTTCAAGATGAAGTAAAAAGTGATGGGTTGGAGTTGAGGAGAGTGAGGTGAAATGGGGTTGCTGTGGAGAAAAATGAGGCAGCCAGCAGGATGGTGGACCATGGTTGGGTGGGGATAGTGTTCATTGGTTTCTTTGACTTCTGTTCAGAGAGCTGATATTTTGTGATCCAAAATGTACATTTAGGGGAGAAACCCAGTAAAATATTCTATCCAGGTGGTTGTTGAGAGCCTCAAAAGAAAACAGGCTCCTCTATGTAATATAGAAAGCTTAGAATTTAGAATTTACAGTGGTTTTGCTTCTTGAGACTATTTAAAAAGCTTTTTTTTATTGTCAGAAGATATGTGTATTCACCAGAGAGAGACAGAGAAGGAGGGAGAGGGAGAGCACACTCCTCAGTGGGGCATTGTCACACTGCAATCCTTTTTCCATGTCTCCATCCTGTCAGGATTTTGGGCACACATGCACAGATGCATGGGGGGGCTGGGATTCAAACCATGGCCAACTGGGTGAGATCCCACTTCCTTAACCACTAGGCTATGGGGCCAGCCCCATAAGTGTGCTGTTCTAACGAATGTATGATAGGCAAAACATTTAATTCTTTCATTTGTCATACGAGGGAAAAAAAGGTGTGTGTACATATATGTAGAAAGCAAGTTGTAAGGGGCCAGCAGGTGGCGCAGTGGTTAAGAGTGCTGGAATCCCACATGGTCGACTCTGGTTCAAATCCCGGACCTGGTGGCTTGCTTTCTTGCTTTCTCTCTCTCCCTCTGTCCATCTCTGGTCAAATTAAAGTAAATGAATAAATAAAGTTAAGTAAAATAAGTCTTTAAAAAAACCTAGGTCATAAGAAGTGTGAAAAAGTCTTTGTAAAATTATGAACAACCTTACAAACATTACTACTACTTACTACCACTTTGGTTCCATTCTTTACTCAGTTCATCTTCCTCAAACAGATGAACAGCTCAAAGCTTGCCCAAAACCTAGACATAAAATACCAGTGCTTCCCCTGCCAACTGTTTTGCCTTCAATTAATGATGTGCATCGAGATACTTTGAGGAACTGGTGCCAACAATGTAATTTGAGTACGGATGGCCAGGTTAGTACATTGGTGGGAATCTTTGCTGTTGGAATAAGTCTGGAAGTTGTTGTCTACTTTTAACTTTTATTTTCTTCTTCATTTCCTTAGAAAATAGACGTTTATTCGAGGATCCAGAAGCATATTTACCCAGAGCAAAAGCATGTGAGTGGTGAGCGTGCCGATGAGTGCAGGTGACGAGTTGCCCTCCTTCCCACCTCCTGCTGTTTGCTGCCTTTCAAGGCAGGGGGCCTTCCCTGTGGCGCGGTGGACATTTGGAGCCCAGTAATTGGTTTGTTTGGGGTGTCTGTTCTATGCACTGCAGGAGGTTTAGCAGTATCCTGGGCCTCTACCCACTCCCACTAATGCCAGTAGTAACCTCTCCTTCCCACACCACCAGACTTGACAAACCCTAATTGCCCCAAGTTGAGAACCACTACTCACTTTCCTAACTTTCCGCCACACTGACATGCATGTTTGGATCAGTTATACAGAATGCAAACTGGACAGAGTCCGTACTTCAGGATCGCTGAACGCTCATCCCAAATTTCATTTGCAGCATATTCCCGGAACACCACAGGAGGCCAGATTGCGTTCGAGGAGATGCAAGGCAAAGAAAGAGATGCTTGAGAAAAGTTACAAGATGAGTGAGGAAGAGACGAATGTCGTGGAAGTGATATCTTCAGCTCAGGAAACCATGATGGCATCATGGGCAAGAATTGCAGCAAGGGCAGTTCGGCCGAAGGCTGCAAATTCATGTCCTATTCCTCCTTTGGTTGTGGCCTTTTTGCCACAGGTTTCTGGTAAGAGCAAACTTAAAGCCTGAGCACTATTACAGAGAAACAGAATTAACTTTCATTAACCCAAGACTGAAGAGTAAAGGGAAGAAGGTTAAAATACCCACAGATTAGAAATCGTATCACATAGGACTTATCTTTTGATTTGATGGGAGTCCAGTTTTGTGTGGATGGATCTCTAAGCCAGGTGATGGAGTAGCAATCCTTTCTCATCTTTCTCTTTTTTTAATTTCCAGAGAGTGTGCATGCTCACCAGAGAGACAGACAGAGAAATGGAGGGGAAGAAAGGGTAGGGAAAAAGGACTCCCCCCAATGGGATGTGGTCACACCACAGTCCCTTCACTTCCTATCCTATTGGGATTTGGGTCACTCTTAGTGTGTTTTTCAAGCCTCTGGAGCCAGGATTTGAATTGTAGTTGGCCATGTGGGATCTGGTTCCACTAACCACAAGGCTATAGGGCTGGTCCTCTCTCTTTTATTTTAAAAGTTTATTTATTGCGGAACCAGCAGTTAGCGTAATGGCTATGTTGCTGGACTCCCACGTAGTCGACCACGGTTTGAGTCCCGGACCCGGTGGCTTAAACTCACGCTGGGCGTGTGTGCGTGCATGCCCAAGATCCCGAGAGGAGAATGGAGGAGAAGGGATTGTGGCGTGGCCACCCCCCCCCCGGGGGGTGATTTCCTGCTTTCTGTCTCTCTGTCTTTCTCTGTCTGTCTGGCGAAAAACTCTAAAAAAAAAAAAAAAGAAAAACTTTATTTATTGGGACCAGCAGGTGGCGTGGTGGTTAAGGCACTGGACATTCCCATATGGCTGACCACGGTTCAAGTCTTGGACCTTGCTTTCTCACTTTCTCTTTTTCTGGTCAAATTAAAATGAATTAATAAGTAAAATTAAATAAATAATTCTTTAAAAAGTTTATTTATTTTTGAATAATTATTTTTATTTAATTTTATTCATCATCATTATTATTTTAATTTGACCAGAGAGACACACAGAGAGAGAGGGAAAGTGAGAAAGCAAGCCACCAAGTCTGGGTCTTGAATCGTGGTCGGCCATATGGGAGTCCTGTCCACATATACTCTCTTATGAAAGAAAGAAACTTGAAAATATTCCAGCTGGGCTAGTATCAATTTATCCTTTCATGTTCCTCCTCAGTCAGCTGGTACTGAGTATCTCCTGTGGTCTGGAAGTGTACCGAGCTGTGGGGTATGTTGTGGTCCAAAATGTACCTTTAGAGGAGAAACCCAATAGAATACTCTGTACCTGCACTGCTTACTTCACAGCTGCCCAAGCCCGTTGTCACTACTCTTTTCTCTCAGTTTCAGACACTTGGTATCTGCACCATTTATCTTGTTTTCCTGTCAATGTTACATTTCCTTAATTAGACTGTTTCCTACACTGTTTTTTTTGGGGTTTTTTTAAGAGATTTTTTTTCTGGTACCCACAGGTAGTGTGATGGTGAAGGTGCTAGACTTTCACATGGCCAACTAAGGTTGACGTCCCAGGTTTGGCGGCTTGCTTTCTCACTTTCCCTTATTGTCTCTCTCTTTCTCGCTCTGGCCTAATTAAAAAATAATGATAAGTAAAATTAAATAAGATAATTCTTAAAAAAATATGAAAAATGGAGTTAAGGTATAAGTTTATTTTTTAAAAAAAGAGATTTTTTTGCCTTAGGGTGTTTGTACTCATGGAAGAAGAGAGACAGTGAGAGGGAAAGTGAGAAATCACCCTCCCTCAAGGTTTGGCCATCCCACAGTCCCTTCTCCTCCTGGGATCTTGGACACACATGCACATGCACCAGAGTGATTTTCAAGTCACTGGTTCCAGGACCCAAACCATAATCGGCCATGTAAAATGCTAAACCATTTGCTAGTCTTGTTTTGTACGATTTTAAAAAAACTATTTTATTTAACTTATTTGTATATTTTTATTTGACAAGAGAGGGATAGAATGAGAGAGAGGGAGAGAGAGAGGCAAAGTGAGAAAGCAAGCCACCAAGTTTGGGACTCGATCCATGGTCAGCCATGTGGGGAGTCCAGTGCTTTTAACCACCATGCCATCCGCTGGCCCCTTGTTTCATACACTTCAAAGAAAAAGTTTTTGCTTGTAACCACCATGCCATCTGCTGGCCCCTTGTTTCATACACTTCAAAGAACAAGTTTTTGCTTGTTTTCTTTTTTTTTCTTTTAAGTTCATTTATTTCTTCCATGAGTCAGAGAGAGGAAGAGAAAGTGAAAGAGAAAGATCGCACCTGCAACAGGTCCCGATGCCGTGATCCACCCCCGCCTCAGCAGCCCAGGAGGGTGGGCACACTCATGCGTAGAGTACTCAGAAAGGTCTTAGATACAAACCTGGAATCTCCCCATGTGGGTCAGCCTCACAGACCACAGAGTTCACTGCTCTGCCACCATCAGATCCCCTTTTGCTTGTTTTCTACAGTTGAGGCAGCACAATGTGGTTAGGCAGTCTGTGAATCAGAATACCTGGATCCAGATCTTAGCCCTGGGAAATTTAGACAGGTATTTAACAACACAAGCTTCAGTCACCTCACCTGCAAGTTAGAGAAGCGAATAGAACATAACTATTAATAATGTACTTACGGGTGGGGAGCAGCAGGTTGCATGGAGATTAATGCACTAGACTCCCACATGGCTGACTATGTGGTTCGAGTTCTGGACTTGGTGGCTTGAAACTCACACAGGGCATGTGTGTGTGCATTTCCCAAATCCTGAGAGGAGACTGGAGAATGGTTAGTGGAATGGCCGTCCCTCCTTGGGGGGGGGGGATGATTTCTCACTTTCCCCTCTCTTTCTCTGTCTGGCATGCACACACACCAATAGCAAAAACTAAAATAATAATACGTAAGAATAAACATGTGAATACATGTAAACCACTTGGCAAAATCCTGGATACAAAGCTGTGTTCTGAAAAGGTAACTGTTACTATCCCTTATGCTGTATAATTTGTGAAGTTAGGTTATGTCTTTTGGTCTACATTTTTCATACATCTTGTTTAACTGATTTTTTTTTTTAAAGAGAAGTTTTTTGCTAATGGGCTCGTGGCCCTCCAGAGAGACAGAGAGACAGAAAGCAAGGAATCACCCCTAAGTGGGGATGACCATGCTGCAGTCCCTTCTCTTCCATTCTCCTCTCGGGATTTTGGGCATGTACGCACACGTACTCATTGAGAGTTTTAAGCCACTGGGTCCAGGACTCAAACCGCAATCGGCTACACATGGGAATCTAGCAATGCAACCATTACACCACCTGCCAGTCCCGTTGTTCAGCTGATTTCTGAGCAGAATGTACAAGAACAAAATTATGAGTGACTTGCTAAAAGGATATATTGTGTCCTTTCTTTTCTTTTCTTTTCTTTTTTCTTTTTTTAAGTTTACTTCTTTCTTTAGAGAGAGAGACAGAACCTCTCCATGGGCTCCCAGCCGCAGTCCTGCCTTGCATTGATGCTCTCAGGTAGACCCAGGATGAGCATCCAGAGCCCTCCGACCTGGCATGCAGCACAGTGCAGCAGCACCCCCCATGCTTCTGCTGCCATGCGGGGCCTCGGAGTGCTGTCTTGATCTTGCCGTTTATATTTGCTTCTCTTTCTCTCCCAGGTGTCAGGTGGTGTGTGGTCCATGGCAGACCTCTCCCCGCGGACACAAAAGGCTGGGTTCGCCTGCAGTTCCGTGCAGGTCAGGCCTGGGTGCCAAACACTCCCAGGAGGATGATTTCTCTCTTCCTGTTACCAGCCTGCACTTTCCCGTCCCCAGAACTGGAAGATAATATGTTATGCCCTGAATGTGCTGAGAGGTAAGCCTGAAGTATCTTTCTAACACGGCTCACTGGAAAGTAGATGTCTAAATGAGTTTCAGTGATCTAACAGAAGGCACAGGGCAAACGTCCTGTTCTCTTAATTTGGTATTTATAGATCCGGCAAAAATACGAAGCAAAAAGAACTTAGAAGTGGTCTAATCCACTGAGATAAATGTGGCTAATTCTTAACAGATTTACAAAGTATCTGCAAATCAGTACCTTATCTCTTCTTTGATTTTGGGGACTCACTCTAAAGAAAAAACAAACATTATTGTTCTTATGTGTCAGACACTGTCTTGAGAATATGAATGTAGTGAGACAAAATCCATCTTGCACACTCAAAGGAAATGAGTAAGAAAAGGTATCCAAATATATGGGCGATACCTAGATTTGAGTAGCTTAGAGAAACTTCAGAGGAGATTGATAGCACATTCTGAAGATGAGTGCACCAGTTGCCTAATGATAATTTTGTAGTGGAAATAGCCAATACAAATACATGGAAATAGGGACCAGCAGTTGGTGTAATGGCTATGTCGCTGGACTCCCATGTAGTCGACTGTGATTCGAGTCTTGGACCCAGTGGCTTAAACTCACGCTGATCACGTGTGAATGCGTGCCCAAAATCCCGAGAGTAGAGTAGAGAAGGGATTGGGGTGTGGTCATCCCCCCTGGGGGGTGATTTCTCACTTTCTGTCTCTCTAGTGAACACACACGCCCTATAGCAAAAACCTCTCCAAAAAATAAAAAAATACATGGAAATAAAAGAATGAGTCTGAGGAGAGAAGGAGAAAACCAATGTTTTTTTGTTTTTGTTTTTGGAGAGGTTTTTGTTATAGGGCATGTGCACTTTCCAGAAAGACAGAGAGAGACAACAGAAAGAGACAGACTTTCTGTCTCTCTAGTGAACACACACGCCCTATAGCAAAAACCTCTCCAAAAAATAAAAAAATACATGGAAATAAAAGAATGAGTCTGAGGAGAGAAGGAGAAAACCAATGTTTTTTTGTTTTTGTTTTTGGAGAGGTTTTTGTTATAGGGCATGTGCACTTTCCAGAAAGACAGAGAGAGACAACAGAAAGAGACAGAGACACGGGAACCAGCAGTTAGCGTAATGGCTATGTCGCTGGACTCCCACGTAGTCGACCGTGGTTCGCATCACGGACCCGGTAGCTTAAAACTCAAGCCGCGCGCGTGTGCGTGCGTGCCCAAGATCCCGAGAGGAGAATGGAGGAGAAGGGATTGCCGCGTGACCATCCCCCGTGGGGGGTGATTTCTCGCTTTTTGTCTCTATGTCTCTATCTGTCTGGCGAGCGCACGCGACCTATAGCAAAAAAAAAATAAATAAATAAACCTCTCCAAAAAAAAATAAATAAATAAAAGAAAGAGACAGAGACAGAAAACGAGAAATCACCCCCCTCCCCCAGGGGGGATGGCCATGCCGCAATCTCTTCTCCATTCTCCTCTCAGGATCTTGGGCACACACGCACACGTGCCCCACATGAGTTTAAGCCATTGGGTCTGGGACTCGAACTGCGGTCAACTACATGGGAGTCCAGTGACATAGCCATTACGCAACTGCTGGTCATGAAACCAAAGGTTTTATCTCAAGTCCCAATCCCAGTGGCTTAAAACTCACACCAGGTGTGTTTGTGTGTGTGCCCAAAATCCCTAGAGGAGAATGGAAGAAAAGGGATTGTGACATGGTCATCTCCCTTGGTTGGGTGATTTCTCCCTTTCTGTCTCTTGGAGAGTGCACACACCCTATAGCAAAAAATCTTTCTCAGAAAAAAAAAGGTATCACATACAAAGGGACTTAAGAAAGGTTCATGGAAAAATGGAAATACCTGTTTGTTCATTTTGTTTGTTTCTTTTAAATTAAAAAGCCATCAGTTTAAAGAAGCGATTATTTTTTTCAAAGTTTATTCATTTATTTTCTCCGTGAGCATAGGAGAGAGGCAGCACCCACAATAGTCTTTTTTTTTTTTTTTTTTATAATTTTTTTTTTTTTTTTTTGGGGGGTTTTTTTTTTTGGGGGGTGCGCTCGCCAGACAGACAGAGAGAGACAGAGAGACAGAAAGCGAAAAATCACCCCCCAGAGGGGATGGTCATGCCACAATCCCTTCTCCTCTATTCTCCTCTCGGGATCTTGGGCATGCACGCACACGTGCCTGGCGTGAGTTTTAAGCCACCAGGTCCACAACGTGAACTGCGGTCGACTACATGGGAGTCCAGCGACATAGCCATTATGCTAATTGCTGGTTCCCACACAATAGAGTCTATGCCACAGCCCACCCCCAGCCTCACCAGCATGCACCCAGTGTGCTCAGGGAGGTTTTCAGGACACAATCCTGGGACCTCTTCTGTGGGTCAGCCTTGTAGAGTGTCACTTTTTATGGCCGTACCAGTGTCCAGCCCTGAATTTATTTTTGGTATAAAAAATTTTGAAGTACATGCATTTTTCTCATAATAGGCACTTTCTATGGACGCAAAAATTATTTCTTAAATTTAATCTCATCATTATCATCATCATCATTTTATTATTATTATGTTAATTTTACTAAAGAGAGAGAGAGAAAGAAAGGGAAAGTGAGAAAGCAAGCTACTAGGTCCAGGATTCAAACTGCAATCAGCCATGTGGAAGTCCAGCGCCACCTGCCGGCCCTTTACTATGAACTTTTTGAAGGCCTTTGTATAACCCTTGAAACACATTCACGTGTTCCGAGAGGACAGCTAGAGACAAACATCTCTGGGAGTTCTTAGCATGTAAGTTGTGGGTAAAGTATGTAAGAAGTAAAAGGAATCGGGCCAGCCCTTAGCACAGCAATTAAGTGGTATGCATAGAGAGCTGGATCCTGAGTGGCCAATCATCGTCTGAATCTTGGCCCTAGCAGCTTTCTTTTTGGATAGGTTTTTGCTATAGGGCATGTGCGCTCGCCAGACAGACAGAGAGAGACAGAGAGATATAAAGTGAGAAATCACCCCCCAGGGGGGATGGCCACGCTGCAATTCCTTCGCCTCCACTCTCCTCTTGGGAACTTGGGCATGCACACACATGCGCTCTGCGTGAGTTTTAAGCCACCGGGTCTGGGACTTGAACCGTGGTTGACTACATGGGAGTCCAACGACATAGCCATTACACTAACTGCTGGTCCTAGGCCCTGGCAACTTGGAAAGCACTCTGGGCATATGTGTGTGTGTGTTTGCACGTGCGTGTACTTGGAGGCCCAAAGTCCTGATCAGCTGGAGAAATGGAGGGAAGAAATGCAGTATGATCGCATCCCATTGGGTGCTTTCTCTGTCTCCCCTCTCTCTCTCTGGCGAGTATATAGGACCTCTAGCAATAAAAATACATAATAATAACTACAATTATAAAAGGTGGCAGTATAATTAGAAGGGACTGGGGAATGGGGCGAGCAGGGGGTGTGGTAGTTAATGGGACTGGACTCCCACATGGCTGACCATGGTTCAAGTCCCAGACTTGGTGGCTTGCTTTCTCACTTTTTCTCTCTCTGTCCCCCTCTGGACAAATTAAAAAATATAAATAAATAAAGTTAAATAAAATCTTTTTTTTTTTTTCAAAAAAAGGGGAAGGGACTGGGGAAAGAACTGTAAAATAATTAGCATATCAGTGGGAAGTGGAAAATGAGGACCCCAAAAGTACAGTTGGAAGTTGGGGAGATGAGTGAGTTAAAGGAAGTGGGCTGAGAGTTATATAAGTTCTCCTAGGAGGCCAGCAGATGGCATTGTGGTTAGGGCACTGGACTCCCACATGGCCAACTGTGGTTTGAGACCCAGACCTGGCAACTTCAGAAACATTTCAGATATGCGTGTGTAGGTACCCAAAATCCCAGGAGGAGATTGGCAGAAAAGGGATTGTGGTGTGACCATCCTCCCTGGGGATGATTTCTCACTTTTCTTTTCTCTGGCTCTCTCATACAGAGCATATCTGCCATATGGCAAAAATCTAAAATAAGAAAAAAGAAAAACAATCCTAAATTCAAATGCTGCCAAATTTTAAAAATTCTGAGCACTAACATAACAGGATGGTACAAATGGGAAATTCTACTCCTGCCCTGATGTAATGGGTTTCAGTCCAAACATCGAAATACAAAAATATTGTGTAAAATTATGTTCCGGCTGTATGTAAGGTGTATATGAAACAAATTAATTTTGTTGATCCCCAAGATACCTTATTCTGTATATGTAAACATTCCAAGATTTGAAAAAATCTGAAATACAGATTTGGTGCTTTTCAGAAAGACACAGAGGGAGAGAGGGTGGAAGAGGGAACAAGTATCCACCCCCGTTAGATGAGGTCTCCCTGCAATCTTTTCCCCATTTCTCTATCCTGCCCAGATTTGGGACATGCACACACATGCCCCACTTGTGTTTTTCTTTTTCGTTTTGAAGAGAAGAGGATTTTGCACAGAGCATGTATGCTTGCCAGAAAAGCAGAGACAGAGAGACAGAAAGTGAGAAATCACCCCCCAGTGGGGATGGACATGCCACAATCCCTTCTCCATTCTCCTCTCGGGATCTTGGGCACACACGCACACGCACCCGGCATGAGTTGAAGCCACCGGGACTGGGACTCAAATGGCGCTCAACTACATGGGAGTCCAGAGACATAGCCATTACACTAACTGCTGGTCCCACTTGTATTTTTCAAGCTGCCAGGTGCAGGACTGAAATTAAGTCGTGTGGGATCCCACTTCTTTAACCACTAGGCCACAGGCCGGCTCTTCTTTTCTTTTCTTCTTTTTCTTTCTCTTTCTTCTCTCTCCCTTCCTCCCTTCTTTCTCCCTTTTCTTCCCATCCTTGCTTCTCATTCCCTTTTTCTTCCTCTACATTTTTTTTTTTACTTATTTCTTTAACTTGCTATTGATGTGTTTGCTGTCTGGAAAGAGCCAGAGAGAGGGAAGGACAATGAGAAAGCACACTCCTAGGGCAGCAGTCACACTGTTATCTCTGCTTTAGGATTTTGGCATGGATGCCCATGTGCCAAGCATATTTTTCAAGAGTCTAGGTTCAGGGACCAGCAGTTAGTGTAATGGGCATGTCACTGGACTCCCACATAGTTGACAGCGGTTCGAGTCCCGGACCCGGTGGCTTAAACTCACGCCGGGCGCGTGTGCGTGTGTGCCCAAGATCCCAAGAGGAGAATGGAGGAGAAGGGATTGTGGTGTGGCCATCCCCCCTGGGGAGTGATTTCTCGCTTTCTATCTCTGTCCCTCTCTGTCTGTCTGGCGAGTGCACGCACCCTATAGCAAAAACCTGTCCAAAAAAAAAGAGTCTAGGTTCAGAACTCAAACCTCAGGGTCAGACAAGTGATATCCAGCTGCCTTAACCACCATGCCACCTGCTAGCCCTATTATTATTTTTTAATGGACAAACCATAATATGTGTGAATGGGAGGGGCTGTTAGAAGAGATGAGAGAATATAATAATTAAGGAAGTGAAGCTGATTATAATACATGAAACACATAGACGCAGAAAAGTGTGAAATCTTCCCTTCTCCACCATACGGGTCACGGTATACACTCCTACAACAAAGGACAGGTTTAAGAAGAACGCATTGTATGTATTTTATTAGAATTTCATGTAACATAGAAACTTTTCTAAATTACCTTAAGACCCAAGAGATAACTGTCCATTTTTATGCTTGGGTTCAATGAAGAGTGCACACTTATATAAAAACGTGATTGGACAAAGAAGGTCTGATCTAATAGTAGACTGAGAGAGGAAACCACGCAGCTTGTCTGCTTGGATTTTTCTCTGGTATTTGTTCCACTCTGTAGGGCAGAACCTTTCTGCAGTGAAGATCGCATGACATACCATCAACTAAGAGAGATCAGAGAATTTCTCTCTGGCCAGCTCCTACGCAGAAAGGTGGGAGAAGATTAGAGTAGTATTTCTAGATTTTGTGGCTGGCTTTGAGGGAAAATGAAGCACAAAAGGCAGGAAGGTAGAAGGGCATAGAGTCTTTTTTTTTTTTAAGAATTATTTTATTTAACTTTATTTATTTATTTATTTTAATTTGACCAGAGGAGGGAGACAGAGAGAAGGAAAGTGAGAAAGCAAGCTGCCAGGTGCAGGACTTGAACTGCAGTCGGTCATGTGGGAGTCCAGCACCTGTAACCACCATGTCACCTGCTGGCCTTAAGACATTTTTATTTCGGAGACATTTTTGCTACAGGGCGTGTGCGCTCCAGAGAGACAGAAAGCAAGAAATCCGCCCCCATAGGGGATGGCCATGCCGCAATCCCTTCTCCATTCTCCTCTTGGGATCTTGGGCACGCATGCACATGTGCCAGGTGTGAGTTTAAGCCACCAGGTCTGGGACTCGAACTTCAGTCAACTGCATGGGAGTCCAGCAGCATAGCCATTACACCAACTGCTGGTCCCTCACGGTTGTTTTCTAACTTGCTTTGTAGGAATAAGAAGATAATGAAAAGATTAATCACAATGAAGAAGACGAAGCAATGTGCTTCAAACAGTGTAGGAGACCACAATGTGTCACCCCAAAATATGCCAGTCTAAGTATTTTAAGCTGAAGGCAATTGAGAAGAAGCAGATTCAAGAAATACTTTCTGCCATACCACTATGTGCCCAAAACAGGACATAAATTTATAAAAGTACTTCTACCAGGAAGGACAAATGATGGGGAGTCCATAGTTACATGATCATGCATCCCAATAATTGCTGTGTTGCGTCCTAACCATCCTTAGTGACTCCTGATGCTTGAGTGCATACTTGTATTTTGTTACATAGAATAGAATTTGTTTAGTTTCAATTAATACACTTTTTTTTTTTTTTTAGACTTTTTGCCACAGGCCACGCGCACTTGCCAGAGAGAAAGAGAGAGAGAGAAAGTGAGAAATCACTTCTCAGTGGGATGACCATGCTGCAATTCCTTCTCCATTCTCTCAGGATTTGGGGCACACACACACACAAGTGCCCTGCATGTTTTTCAGGCTGCTGGATCTGGGACTTGAACCACAGAGTTGGCTATGTGGGATACAGCGCCTTAACCGCCATACCACTTGCTGGCCCAATATACTTTTTTTTTTTTTTTCCAGCAGTTTTAGGTTTACAGAAAAATTTAGAAAAAGTATAGAGTTCTGATATACTCCTCACATGCCCCTCCCATTCCCAGTTTCTTCTATTGTTAACAGTGGGATTTTGGTCATGCATGTACATGTGCCTGGCAATTTTTTTTAGTGTGGTACATTTTTATAGTTGAAGAGTCAATAGGGATACATTGCTAACTAAAGCCCATAACTATAACTCTGCGCTGTGCATTCTTTGGCTTTTGACAAATGTATAACGATACATATCCAGTCAAGTCTCATACAGAATAGTCCCTTGTGTTCCACCTACTCATTGCTCTCCCACTACTCTCACCCTAATGGGTTATAATCATGCTGCAATTGTTTTTTCTCTATTTCCTCATCCAATCAGGATTTGGGGCATGCAAAGACACATGTCTGATACAGTTTTCGAGCCACCAGGGCTGGGATTTGAACTGTGTTCAGTCATGTGGGAGCCGGCTTTCTATGCACAGGGCTTAACCACTACACTACGGGGGTAACCCTGGAAGCCACAGATCCTTTTACTGTCTCCATAGTCTCTCCCTTTGCCAGAAATCTGCAGTCATGTCATATGTCGCCTTCTCGGTCGGCTTTCACATAGCAATGTGTATTTAAGGTTACTCAGTGTGTGTTCATCCTTTAAGAACCCATTTCTTTTTAGTACTGAATACTATTCCATTGTCTGGCTGTACCACAGTTTGTTTATCCAGTTCACCCTACTACTGAGAGGCACCCTGTTTGGTTTCGGGCTTTGGCATTTATGAATAAAGTAGTTATAAACACTTGTGTGTGGGTTTTTGTGGACACCTACATTTCCAGTTCATTTGGGTAAATACCAGAAATGCATGATTACTGGATCATATGGAAAGAATATGTTTTATAAGATGACAAACTGCCTTCCAAACTGGCTATAACATTTTCCATTGCCATTAGCAACAAGCAAGAGTTCTTGTTGCCTTGCATCCTGTTAACATTTGGTGTCAGTGTTTTGAGTTTTAATTATTATTTTATTTTATATTTTATATTTTTTGTTAATTACGGAAGGGAGGGCGAGAAAGAGTGAAATAGGTAGAAGCCCCCTTAATGGTGCGTGGTCACACCATAATCCCCTTCTTCATTTCTCCATCCTTTTGAGATTCTGGCCACCCGTGCACATGCACCTGGCCTGTGACTCCAGCCACTGGGGCCAGGCTTCAAAGGACAGTTGGCCATGTAGGATCTGGCTCCTTTACCACTAGGCTGCAGGGCCAGCCCTGGATTTTAACTATTCTAATAGCATGTAGTACTATCTCACTTTAATTTACAATGACTTCATGACATGAAGTTGAGCATCTTTTCGTATGCTTATTTGCCATCTCTATCTTATTTGGTGAGATGACCACACATTTTCAAATTGGTTTGTTTTCTTATTGTTGGTTTTTAAGAGATCTTTTATATTCCAGTTAATAGCCTTTTATCTGATATCTTTTCCAAATAATTTTCTAGTGTTTTTCTTTTAAAATGTTTTTCCTTTCACTCCACTTTTCTTGCTTGCTTGATTTCTGGAGAAAATCCTAATGCACAGCAGCCCCTTAACTGCTGGTACAAGTGCCAAGAACCCCAGTGGATGCTGACACTGCAGATAGTACTAAGCCCTATGTATAAAATGCTTCTATTCCATACGTATAATAAGGCTTAATTATTTTATTTATTTATTTATTTGGTTTAATTTTTTTAATTTACCAGAGGCTGTGTGCACTCACCAGATAGAAAGACAGAGAAGGGGAGAGGAAGAAAGCATTATCCTATATTTTTTTAAACATATTTTTTTCTATAGAGTGCGTGTGCTCACTAGAGAGGGATGAGGGTGGGAAGGGGAGTGAGAAAGTACCTTCCCAAGGGCTGGGCATTCTGCAATCCTTTCTCTATTCTTTTGGAATTTGGGGCATGTATAGCACTCAGCATGCTTTTCAAGTCATCTGTCTGGGACCCTAACTGTGCAGTTGGCCATGTAGGTTTTACCACCTTAACCACCACCATACCATTGTCTGGTCATCTGGTTGGTTGACTGACACAGCCTCATTTAAAAAGGATGTTTTCTGTGAGCCTGAAAAAGCATGAACACAGTCACTACAATTGGTCTTATACATTTTTTTTTTAATGTCAATTAAGGATCCTTTGAGAACCACCTTGTGTCTGTCTCTGATAGTACAAACTAGCTGAAACTGCCCATGCTGACGGTGAGGTGAGAAACAGAGACGAGAAAGGCAGTGTTGTGGATGGGACAGATGGGGGAGAGATGCTTAAGTCAAGCATGGTCGAGAAAGACCAGAGTCGGTCCGGGAGACATCACAGTACATGAAATAAACCAGGAACAGGGGAGGAAAACCACGTTTTCCCTTATTCTTGGAAATTGGAAAACTGACCTCATAGAAGTAAGAGGATGTAGAATGAACATCGGTTACTGAAAAGGATAGGGAGCAGAGAATAGAAGGATGTTGTTAATGGAAACAAATGGTAGAGTAATGTCTAGTGCTATAAACTACAGTGTGTGTGTGGGTGGGGAGCGCAGCAGGTGGCACGGTGGTTAAGGGCTCGACTCTCACATGGCCAACCACAGTTTG